TCTAAGCGGAGATTGAGTAAATTTGTCATTTGGAAGAGTTAATAGACGACGGAATGTGTGAGGAGCACATTGCTTGGGTCCAATGAGGAGGAATCTTCTGGTTTTCGGAGGTGTTTTGATTTTCTTGATTTTTCGCTTCAATTTAATCAGCTGCACTTTTGGTAGCGATTCACGAGGTTGGAACGAGTTAGGCTGTAGGAAAGATTACAGGGAACCCTGCCGGCTTCATCGGTCCTTGACCCAATGTGGAAAAGATAGCGTTAGCTTAGGACCAAAAGTGAATTAAAAAAAACACTCACTCACTCACTAGGTTCACCGAGTGCACTCGAAAACGCCACATCTATCGAATATCTAGCCGCCATAAACGACATTCTATTGAATATCTTACTATTCATGAAAGTGATTCTTTATCGAATATGATGTAAGAAATGATTAATTATTCGGTCATTGGGGAAACAAACACCTTCTAGTCAGCCAAGACTTAATCCGCGCATTTGCCAGCTTCAGTGGCGATTTAATTTTCTCAAAGATAAAGACACAAGCATATAGAAATATGTTGATTCCTCAACCCTATGGCCACATCTGGAAAGGAAAATGCCGCCAGCTCGGCCAACTTTGTATTGGGAGCTTATCACAGTATGTCACATTGCGCATTCTTCAACGAGCGAGAAAACCAAAAGATATCTGATGCAGCACCATGGAAAGTAGTTTAGATGAGCTACTGAGAGTGTGGTAATTAAGGCAGCAACATGACTGCAGTAAACAAATATTACATATTAAAATAATATGCACCGGCGCCATGACATATGATTAACCCATATCATCACGCATTGGAATGAATAGTAATTAGCCAATAGATACCTGACGGTATACATTGGCTTCAGGATCTCCAACAACCTTCCCACGAAGGTTAGATAAGGAAGTATGTTGGAGTTGATACTATTGTGCGGAAACCCCCGCTGTCATGTAGATTGGGGGACTTATCGCCACACTTGTAGAATTACAGCAATTTAATCACAGTTAACTATCGATTAAACATCAGTAAACATCTCTATATGGTAGACATATTCATCATATGTCTAAATCAGCCTCAAGGCTAGTTTGTACTTCTTCCAATATCCGAAACTATTTCAATTGAGAGCACGTAGAAACTCGGTGACAGAAGTATCGATTGAGATCAAACCAAAACTGGAGAAGACGAAAGCTCAGCGTCTATCAGTGGATTCCTCTATAAACCTCAGTCTCTCGCTGTAAACTCTGTAGAGCCGCGTTTAATAATCACCTACCTTCTCACCTTGATAAGGATTCCCCATCGCTTTCGCGATCTGTATCCTCTTCATCTCTCTGCACATCCTCCTATCACCATTCTCATGAAGCTAACCGCGATCACGTCTAATGGTAGGTTTGAATCTCTACTCACCCATTCACCTTTCTTGGTCATGGAAAAAGAGCTATTCGATAAGTTTCCGGAGCGCACCTAGCACCCTATACAGCGATTGTGGATTGGATCAATTTGACCCCTCGTTGTAAATAGAGGGTTCACGACCGCACCTATTGTTGTCTATTGGTAACAGTGACTAAGCCTTATGTAAGACGTGTGTAGCGTGGCTGAAGCGAGGCTACGATTCTTTCACACATACGCACACATGTAATTGTAAATATCTATGAATATTTATTAGTGACGGGCACAAGCCCACCACTCAAAGAGCATGACACGGAGAAGGCGAGGACATGTGACGGGGAAGTTATTATCATTTGTAGTGGATCCAGCCAGGGGGAATATTCTCAACACCTGTCAGTGGTGTCCCCTACGAACCTCCAGCTCTTACTGTAGAGTCTGCAGAGTCGAGATTGAGTAACACCTTATCAACTTTGAGCTGAGTTATCTCCCCCTCCGTCAAAGATACGCTCCCGATAACACATAAGACGACAAAGACGACGATAATGATGCTGGGAATGAGGAGAGATAATGCGGTACCAAACGCTACAACGGTAGTCAGAGAAGCCCTCGTTATATCACAATATGTGCCACCCACAGGCGGGCGAACAAAAAGCCCACGAAAGCAGAGTAAAAGACCCTTCCGCCGTCAAGAAAAGCAGATTCCGACTCGTCTACATTATCGTCCCTACTAATCTATACCTCCGAATCCACAGCCAGGAGGGCATCTGAAATACATGAGTCACTCGACGACCCTACGTCCGTAACGACATTTGGATGCTAGGCGAGGCTCCTTCACGACAGTCACTCTCGACCAAGACTCTTCTGAAATCCTTTCACAATCTTCGATTTGTCCTTTGGCATGAATCAGGGGAGGAGTAAGGAGGAGGAGGCTAGGAAGGTTGAGAGACGCTCTAAGGTATACATCGGTCTGCTGCGCCCGGCTGGCTGGCCTCTTCGTCATAGGAGAGCCCCGCACCCAGCGGTTTTTGAGATTTTTCCCTGCAGCTACACACCCGCAAATGGCCATCTTTTCGTTGGCTGGAGAGGGGAGATAATGACGGGATAACGGCTCCCCTTAGTGTGTACTCGAATGAAGACCTGTGGGGATATTACTGCTGGAAAGAAGGCGTGAAGGAGGCATAGATACTCCCGGCCTGTAGGCAGAATGGACCTACATGTCCTTACATAGTTATAGACTTTTTAGGACAATGAACACTCACTCAGGCCATGATGAAAAATCCAAGATATAGCAAGAATAACCAGATGGATCCAGCATGAAGGACAGCTAGAACAGTTTCGACTGAAAGTTAAGGTCGAAGCGACAATGAGGAAGAGAGAGAATAACAAAGAAGGAAGACAATCTTCTACAAGTCATGTGGAAGAGGACAGTATCCGCACTAGACATAACAGTGTTAGTGCACTTCTTGAAGGTAATACAATATCGAGGTGCAGACAAAATGAAAAGTTGAGGAGGTATTTTCCATAATGGTTCCCTCCTTTGTAAATGTTAGAGTTGGTAGACACTTGCATGGGCCCTTGAGGCGCCAAATTAGGCTACATGTAATCAAATTCAAAAAAAATTGAAAGGTGTGTGTTTGTTGGCTATTGATTTTGAATTTTGAATTTGAAATCTTTTACGTGACAGGAAGAACCTAACATCTATTTAGAGGTGTCACGGGTAGAAGGGCTCTGAAAGCTCATTGCTACCTACATGACTGGCAATAAAGCCAGAAGCGACGAAAGAAAAAGAAAAGTAAAGTAAATGTCTTAGTTACGGTGCCCTGCGCCGTATCCCTATGTGTTGTCATATTGAGTCTACAACTTGTCGAAAATATCGCGCAATGAAATGGGTGCAGTATTTATGGAACGAAAGTAGAAGTTGACTAAAAGGGTGTCATGTTCGGATTAAAGCTAAAAGTGTGAGATATGTGAGCGACACAGAGCCTAAGCCACACCATAAACGAGTGTGGCGCCATCCAGGCATAGAAAACCCCCAATAACCTCCTTGCGCCCACGCCATACAGCTGCTCATATATCCAATAGGTAGCCTGAAGCGCTATCATATTACCTATTCCAACCACTTAAATACACACAAGATCGTGTCGGGAACCTAGACGAAATGGAGGGCCCGTACGTCCACAACACTCCGTGTCTCCATTTCCAACAGGACTATTTAAAGATATGTAGGTCCTTGCTGACTACAGGCCGGGAGTATGCAAGCCTCGAGTGTTGTATTCCCTCCTTTGGCTCCTTCACCACTTCTTCTCAGCGGGAATAACCCCTCTCGTCTTCATTTCAGCACAAACTTTTAGGAGTAGTTGTATTCTCATTATGTCTTCTATCAAGCTAGTGAAACGATGGCCATTTTCAGATGTATACCTGCAGTGAATAATATCAAAAACCTCTGGTTGCAAGGCTACTCTGATACCGAAATCAGGGCCATATTCGGAGTTAGACTGTTGCGGGATTAATCACTTGGGTCTACATAGTCTGCGAGAGTAGGCTTGGGAGCCAATCAGGAACCCAATTAGCCGTGGTGATTGTCATTTATGCAAATTGGATACAATAGCTTAGCAGCACAATTTGGGATGATCGACTTCAGTATTTATGATTCTCTGTTTCTGCATTATTGATATTGGAAATATGTATTTGGACAAAACCTGAAATGTTTCATCGTACGTTCGCCTTGTCATACACCAGCATCAATTTATCAGGAAATTCTAAGATATCCTCATCAAACGCTTACAAATTATCGACAGCCAGCGAATGTAAACTCGTGTGCATTTTAGAATCAGCCTCTGGCTTCCCTGCCTATCCTCAACTCCATCCGTCGTTAGCGTTTCGGCAAAAATTATACGTCATGATGAAATGATAAAATTTATACATCTAAGATTTCATGCTGTCAAGCTGTTTAGCCCAACCTGTTGGCGGTGACTTGGAAAGCAAAGCATGCTTCAGGCTTAAAGTCAATAGAAGCCCTCTTTGCTAGCGTTGGGCTTAGTCTCGGCTCTATAAGTTTCACGGTGAAGTACTAGAGATTAGTACAGGACATTGTAGTCAGCATTGGGCCTTCGTCACCCAATTACATTATGTCCGACTCCAATGTTCCAGATTTCCGAAAATATTCCCAAATCTCATGACGGACCAAACCCACCTTCAATCTGTCAGCTACCTTTATCAGAAACTAATGATACGTCAAGGTTAAATTAGTTCATCTGGTGCATCATGGGTAGGGTATAAGTATGCAAAATTCGATGACCAAGAAATCTTTGGTATCACATGCACTTGGGGTGCAAATGGTAAGTCTTGATGACGGCATGATGTCATTACAGTGGAGAAAGATTCAATAAATTCTAGTAAGCTGCTCTATATTGTTCACCTGAGACGATGAATATTTACCAGGCCATCACTTCTTCATTGTAACCTTGGAAATAAAAGATTAATCAAAAATAAATTTGCGCCACGTTCAAGACTGTTATCTAGTGAGAAATACGGAAGTAGCATTATTCTGGTATTATCAACTTCAGCGCTTGCTCTTGTAAAGCAGCCAGATTTGATAATGGGTTTTATTTGGCCCTCCAAGAACGATGATCAATCTGTGGACTCCAGAACATCAAGAAATCATCTTGATACTGACCATGCAGAAGAAAATGAACGGACCCAGCTACTGCGACCATCATCTCAGTCAAACTATTTGAGCCCAGATGATCCAGCAGTAAGTTTTTACTAGACATTTTCAAATTAGTACTAAGATTAAAAACTTTAGGTCACGCCGTTTAACCTATGGCGAGTGCGGTACCTTCGATATCTCTCATTTATTTTTACCATTTTAACATTTTTCTGGTGGATTCTACTTTTCATCGCAATATTTGTTACACCCCCAGGTATGATTTATAGAGGCTCCGGATTCTTCGGTTTTGCCTTTACAACTTTGGCATTATCTCTATTACTTGTTATTTTACTTTTTTTTTCTACGCCATCAAAAGCAGCGCAAGTAACTTCTCTAATCATGTCGACAATATTATTATTTGATATGATTATGATAGTAGCTGTTCCAAAAATTCGAATGGAAGAAGGCTGGGCCGGACTTGCAAGTATAATCTGGGCACTGATGATGAGCATCTGGACAATATGTACAAATCATATTGTTACCGGAGGAAAGTATGAGGAAGAGGAGCGTTTGACAGGTCGATCCGAAACTCGACGTTCATTGATTGAATGGTTTGGTGTTTTCACATCCACGGTGGTCTTGAATATTGTTTCCGTAGTAGTTTTACTCTTATCTTGCAACTTGATACTGCGCTCACACGACTCATCACTTCACCATCCCGGAGAACGTTACTTCGTGGATGGAAATAAGTACAAAATTCACCTATTTTGCTCATCAAACAAGAACAGTGTTGACTCAAGCGGTTACCGGCCCCCAACTGTCCTATTTGAAGCAGGTGCGGATGCATTTGAGGAAAGTATGATTCAAATTGCAACAAACAGTTTTGCAAACGGTAGTATAAGCCGTTATTGTTACTGGGATCGACCAGGATTCGCATGGTCAGATAACGCACCTTCTCCATTTTCCGCCGGAAATTCCGCTGATATCCTATATGAGGCGCTGGTTCGTGCCGGAGAAGAAGAATCTCTGATACTAGTTTCTGCAGGTATTGGGAGCATCTATAGTCGTGTATTCTCAGCACGACACGGAGATCGTATCAAAGGATTATTGATGATTGATCCTCTGCACGAAGATCTTTTGCATCGTGTCGGCTCTCCATTACGAGGATTCAAACTTTGGGCTCGAGGCATTTTGTCACCGCTTGGGCTAGACCGAGTTCCTGCCGCTATACTTAGACGTCGGTCTCGCGAAGATCGGATATATGGACGTTCAGCTTATCAGAGTGGGAAATACATCAAAGCTAAGCTCCAAGAGTCTTTAACGGCAGAATCAACTACCCGTAGTGAAGTGATTAGTGCGAGGTCTCTTCAAAACGAAAGCGTACCGTTGGTACTCATAAGCTCAGGCATGCAGATGAAGCATGATACTGAATGGGAGACAAAGCAACGCGATCTTAGCCTTGTGACCAAGAATTTAATCGGCTGGGATATTGTAGATGCACCCTCTAAGGTCTGGAACACGATTGAGGGACGAAACGTCATCGAAAGGAGGTTGAAAGATTTGTTGAGGTTTGATGACAAGGATATAGGTTGAGTGCTGCTGGTCGTTTGAGAGAGACGTTTAGCGTTATATGGAGTATGCATGGATCAAAGTGGAATTTCGGTCGCTTCTCTTCATAGTTACTGAAATTCAAAATGGCAGGAATATTTCTTTGATGGCTGTTCTTTGACGAAAGAAGTTATTTAGAAATTTTGAATTGCATTTAAATGGCTCGTTTCTTTAATCAAGGTCGATAGCAGATGTTGCAGCTAACCGTACAATTTCCAAACTACGTTTTCTCCCTCGAGGTTTTCGATTAGAGAGTATTACGGTTTGACCGTTGCTTGAGCTTAGGTGAATACCTAAGAATATTGTTGAGAATATTTACGACAAAGCTGCATGGGGAGGGATAGATGAAGCTAAACAAGACGGCACTACTAGTCAGGAGGTCGAAGCATTACTACAATTAAGTAACACCTGGAAATGCGTAGCTGGGTAGCAAGTATTGTGCCTCAGGATAAGTCATCAGTCCGGAGATTGACGGAGGGGACCAATTATTATAAATACCTATTAGTCGTAGTTACGTTTCTCCTTTTTCTTCATCAATTTAATAAATCGATTTATTCATCACCAACTCGGTTTCTGTCTAAGAGAGTGTGTGTTTTTATTGTACTACTTGAGTCTATGACTATCTAGCACATTGGGCTCCTCTCTGACCAAGGCCACACCTTGTACAGTGCTCCTATCCTCTTTTGTTACTTGAAAGTTTATTGATGTATTCCCCTTGATGAATAGCCATTCAGCTGAGTGTTTACCCGTGGAATTCGGCCACATTTTCCACGGAACCTTCTACCCAAAAAAAAAAAAAAAAAAAAAAAAAAAAAAAGGTAGCAATGGAAACAGCGAGCGCGGGAAATAGTCTCAAAAAACTTTCTGCCCCAGCCAGGCGAGGCCTAGACAACGGGACCACATGAGGTGCGCATATTCATCTATATCTCCCTTCTTTGTGACAGTCGAGGCCGATTTGATCCAATCCACCATCTCCGTATCGGATGCTTAGTACGCTCTGGAAACTCATCGGATGGCATCTCCTACATGATCAAGGGTTGGTACCAAATGATCTGATCGTGGTTAGCTTCATGATAATGGTGATAGGGGAATGTGATGAGAGTTGAAGACGATACAGACCGCGAAAGCGATTGGGAATCCTCGTCGAATTGAGGACTTTGTTGCTCAATCTCGGCTCTGCAGACTCTACAGTGAGAGCTGGAAGTTCGTAGGGGACACCACTGGCAGGTGTTGAGAATAGTCCCCCGGGTTTCGATTAGAATACCTAACCGATAACTAGATGTTTAGTAATTACGAAGCTAGCCGCCAGGAAATCTTCATTTCTCTTGCAGTTGGAATATATAGTTCAAGGTATGTTGGGTCTTATTCTTACACGGTTTCTTTTTGCCCGGCTCAGCTTTTCTCGGAAGTAATAGATATGCCCAAGATAGCAAGTAGATTTCTATTGCATAGTTAGGGTCTTAGGGTAAAGCTTCGAGTCGACTATGGGTACATGATCGGTGGAGCTGGCGGTGATCACTGAACACGAGCCTAGCTCATTCTTCATACGGGAATCGCTATCGAAATTGTAGCAGATTCGACAGGAATGCTCAAATCACAAGTTGGAGAATGGAAAATAAATCACTTCGAAGACCGAAATATCTACATTTTAAGGTCTCTGGCCTGAGTGTTCCTCATTCACTTTTATTTCCGTCACATCTTCCTCATGATTTATACTTTTAACCTCTGCCGAGAGCTGGTGACGAGTCTCTAAGCCTCCTACAAGGTCAGTTTTAAGGACTTAAGATAGAAACGATTACCGGGTTACAATAGTTACTATGGGTTACGAATGGATTAACAGAAGTATAGCAAGCGTAAGCTTAGGGGCTTTAATGGCTCTGGTTTTTATGATGTACATACAGATTAGACAGGGCAATCGGAGAATGTGACGGGCTTTGCCCGGATTGGGACTGGTCACTAGGACCACTCCGTCTCCGAGGGAAGGTAGTGATAGGGCAACGCTCCTGGATAAACGAAAGGGGCGCTGAGGGGGTACGCACCAGATGGGGAGTATGATACAGGAGAAGAGTTGTGCCGGGAGAAAGGATGATTCTCAAGTGGCCAATGGAGGGAGTTAAGACTAGTCTACACGGAGCATATAACGTATGGGAGAGTACGTGGTAGATAGCCTTCCCAAGGAACAAGTTATTAATTCCTATTGAGTTATTGTCTTTCAAGTACATCTGAATTCATTAAACCCTTACAGAGAAGGCCACATCTTGTTTTCCGTCTTACATTAAACTTGTGTCCTGTATTAGTTTCCCTTGTTTCTTGTCCTTGGATATAGCAAGAATTAAAAACTCACACCATTTCCTCTTAATGACCTATTCAATTATGGCTCACACTTCTCAGTAATCCTTCCAGATGCTCCTTTTGGCACCCTCGGGTTTGACGGGTGGATATTATTTGGATCATGAACTTAAGTAGTTTCTGGCTTATTGGCGAGGTAATCTATCTCTAAGACCTCCTCTTCGGGGGTAAATGCTCCAAGACTCGAGGCCTCCAAATTGTCTTCATCTCGGATGGTAGCTACTATTACGACTCTTAGTCGCAGCTCAAGCTTGCGCCATGGCTATACTTCTGCGCACATCAGACGGCGATTGTTTGTCTTTGGATGACTGGGCCAGCGCACATTTAGCTGGCTGTATTGATTCGGTTATCTAGCGTGGATGGTCTTGCACAATTGCAGTACTTGTCGGTTGTTTCGTACTAAAAATATGGGAGTATTTTGAGGGAATAATCCACGCTGATTACTGCCCGAGGACATCGACATACTTTGTGAAATCCGAAGTATCGTTCGTATTGCTGCACGAGCCGGCTTGATAAATGTCTAATGCCATTCGCGACTAGTTGGCACTTCAAGTTGTGCCGTTCAGTGTGGATGGACTATTAAAAGCATCTAGTTGATGATACAAGTCATTTCTTTGATCTCCGGTTGTTCCCGGCTGTCTTTATCAGTAATCAACTGCCTGCTACTATTGAGATGTGGAGTTCAACGAAATTTGAAGCCGCTACATATTATTTTGCATGGTGAAATTTCTCTATTTTTTCATCATATTCTACCTGTCGGCATTTTTAGCGATGCTTAAAATTTCTAAGTGAAAGTGACCAATAGACATCTAATCTTACGGCCTGTAAGAGGCGTCAGAAGTTATGTACGCTTCGCCGGCTCTAATGTGGTAGCTGGCATTCAGCAAATATCTCGATCTACATCAGTGATTTATATTTGTAGAGGTGTAGCCACATATCCTGTTTAACTTTTTCCTAGTGGGGAGCCCAATTCTAATGAGACGCGCCGTCTTAGCAGAAATAAGGTGAGCTCAGTGGTGGTTACTGAGACGTACGACTTTACTTTCAATAAGAATAACGCACCTCTTGCCACTTTCCAATCCAATTATCAGCGCAAGTTTTCAACTTCCAAATTGATATCTTGTTAACGTCGAGCGACTTTTAACACACCTCCAAAATGACGGCCCAACTTCTACACTACCTTGTAGGCGAAGCCTGAGGAGACATCGTAAATATTCAATAGGTCCTGCTTGGTAATTTTGAAATTATAACTCAGTATTTCGTACGTACCATCCGATGTTTTCGCACTAGAGTTATTTTGACTCAGAGTCGTGACTTGTATGCATTCGACGATTTTGGGGGAGGCCTTTAGGATACCCTTCGAATAATCATTTGACAGCTGTCTTTTGCCCCGACCTATGTAGTAAAGTTTCTGAGCAATATTATTATCGATTGTATCTATTTAATTGCTGTAGGGCGAGTAAGGACGTAGTGCCAGACCCGTTGTCATGTTTGCGCGTAAATGGAACCTTGTCAATCCCATAAATTATCTGCATGATTGGTCGGAGGTAGAAAGGATGCCTCGGACGTATTGATGACGGCGGTGTAGAACGAAATTTGGGCCGCTATCTAGACAGCGCGTTACTGAGCCCCTAGAATCACTCAAAGCTTGACAGGCAACCTAGTATAGTGGCACTTTGGGCTTGTGGCTCTATAAAAACTACTGTAGGAAAGTTTCCCGTGCCTCGAGCTTGGCTACGGCAGTTGTTGAAGAATCTCCTGTCCTTTTCTAGTCGGGGCTACTTGAGAAGATTCCCACACAGGTTCGGCTGACCAGAGCATGTCAGTATCAGTTGTGTTCGTGGCGAGTAACTTTTTCTATCCTCAAAGCTTAAGCTTACTCGTCTCTGGACAAATTGGGGAGTGGACGAGATGCAGTTTTTGAAATCGTGTCCTTGTATAATCTTTCGAATTGTCCACCATGACATTTGGTCCCATTTTTCGCGACGGAGGCATCTGACGGCCTAGCGGTTCCTAACCCTTCGAGGATGATCAGGATCCGTAAAGGAAGGAGGCGGAGAAGGGGAATATAAGCAGTTGGAGGAACTTATCCAACCTGGGGTTTGGATGGTTTGGTGCGAAGGAACCAGGTATATGTCACCCATCGCAATCCTAGTGGAGCTTAAGCGCGTGAGGGACGGAAACTTACCTCCTATCAGCGGTATCTATATACCTCTGGTTCTCGCAGGGGAGCCTACAGGGCCGGTAATGGGTTTAAGAGTTGACGGATAGACTTCGATTGCTATTGAGTCTGCGGCATTCCTCGAAACCCAGCACGACAGTCGGAAGTTGGGGCAGGCAGCTAAAGAGCGATCACATCTTGTCATGAGATTTCAATCACCTTGGACATGACCTTCGATCTGTCCCGAGCTAGGAACAGCAAGGGTTGAAAGAAGGGTTTGGAGTGGCTCTCTCGAGTACGCGTAGGTCTTTTTTTTTTTTTTTTTTTTTTTGCATCAGATTTTAATTGCGTATGCAGCTATCTAGCTATGACACAATATCAAAGAAAAGTACAGAATAGATGATTCAACGTAAAGGAAGAGCACTCATGCCTCGGATTTCATTTGCAGGTACCACTGCGAAGTTATGGTGGCTTT